CTTTTACAGTAGTGGTCCTATGCAGTATTTCTCCTTTTGTGACTGACTAATTTCACTCAACATAATGTCCTCAAGGTTCATCCATGTTATAAGATAGCTTAAGCTTTCTTGTTGCTCTTCAAGGTAACATAATATTCCATTGTGTGTATGTACCACAGTTTATCCATTCTTCCGTTGATGGGCACTTAGGCTGTCTCCATCTTTTTGTTATTGTAAATAGTGCTGCTATGAACTTTGGTGTACATATATCTACTCGTGTTATGGGTCGTATTTCTTGTGGATAAATATCAAGTAGAGGAATTGCTGGGTCATACAGTATTTCTATTACCTTCTGAGGAAGCGCCATATTGCTTTCCAGAGAGGTTGGACCATTTTGCAACCCCATCAGCAATGCAGGAGCGTTGCAGTCTCTCCACATCCTTGCCAGCATTTACTGTCCTCTACTTTTTTGATCTTTTCTGTTATTTGTCTTGCAAAATTCTATTATATGATCTCCACCATCATTTCTACCACTAAGGTCATATTTTCCAAATACAATCTTTCCTCTGTTTCCAACTTTCACATTCCAATCAATGCAATTTGGTTAAATGTTTGGTCAATTTCAGATAGAAGAAGTTGGTTGTTGTTGTGATGTGCCGTGGAGTCAGTTCCGACTCATATTGACCCTGTAGAGGGGTTGAGGCTATAAATCTTTACGGGAGCAGAAAGCTTCATCTTTCTCCCGCAGAATAGCTGGTAGTTTCGAACTGCTGACCCTGAGGTTAGCAGCCCAATTCGTAACCACTATACTACCAGAGCTCCTTGAAGAAGCTGGTAGAATTTGTCAACTTCTTCATTACTGGTTTTAGTGGTTGGTGAATAAATTTGAATAATAGTGATATTAACTGGTCTTTCATATAGGTAATATAGATACTATCCTATCACAGACAGCATTGTACTTCAAGATGCATCTTGAAATGTTCTTTTTGACCATGCCCTTCCTCGTCAATTTGTCATTCTGAGCACAGTATACCACCTGATTGTGTCTGACTCAAAATGGCTAATACAAGTCCATTTCAGTTCATTAATGCCTGGGACCACTGATCTTTATATGATCCATTTAATTTCTGAAGACTTCCAATTTTTCTAATTCATACTTTGATCATTCCATGTTCCGATCATAAATGGATGCTTGCAGCTGTCCTCATTTTCAGTCGTACCCCATCAGCAAATGAAGTTCCTAAAAGCTTTGCTCTACCTACAGCATTAAAGCCAACTTGCCTTTGAGGAGTCACCTCTTCCAACAGTCATATTTTGAATGCCTTTCAACAAGAGGGGTCCACCTTCCAGTACTATATCAGACAATGTACCACTACTATCTCTACGGGTTTCAGTGACTAAATCCCTCAGAAGTAGACTGCCTAGTCCTTCCTAGGCTATTCTGAGTCTGGTTTACTTTAAATACTATCTCTTCTATAGAGGCTTCATAAAACACTAAAGATAAGGATGATTTCCCTGATAATCATATTTTAACATATATCCATATCTTCCCTAAATAGTATTTTTTGACAAAATTAACAGATTCAATAAAGTTCACTAAAAACACAAGATATATTGCATACTGGTGAGTCTCATATTCTTATATTGTTCCATTACAGCTCTTTCTCCAGGTTGGGGTAAGCAATGAACATGCAATAGCATTATGTGAAAATAAAAAGGAGGCAGCAAGCATACTGTACCTTTAGGTCCTTTCCCAGTTGTGGGTTCTACAGTAGTTTTGCTCCATATAAGTATGACTCCACCTGAGTCTCCAGTAAGAACATCTCCATTTCCCAAGAATGCTAGACACTGCACAAATTTTGGTTTTTCATATTTCTACAATGAAATTTAAGTTTTAGTTTTCCCTTTATAGAATGATGATTTTACAACTCAATAATAAAAAATTTTAAATTTACATAATGAATGCAGTTATAACATTCTATTCTCACCCCAAAAATTCCCTGTTTTCTTGTGAGTGAATTGCCGCTCCAGGTCCAGAAAAAAATATGAGATTTGCCACATGTTATTATGGTATTTGCATCTGTTGGATGGAACTCAACAGCCAAAACAACTTCATTTGTTGTCTGTGAAAACAGAAATAAAGCTTTAAATGAGCACCATAATCTCTGATTAACCAAAGATAGGGTACATTTTTGAGAAATACCTTTTCTTCCATGATTCATTTTCCAAAAAGTTTTCACAGATTTTTTGAAAAATGACTTAATTTTGATATCTTTACACTTTATGTATCACTTTTCATACTATGCATCTGTAATAACTGTACTAGGAAAACATTTATATTATTCCAATTTTAGATTATTTTAATTTCTTACCCATTTAGGAAAAAGTATACTAAAACCATTAAATGTAAATGCAATGAACATTCTGTCCTAGAGATTTCCATTTTGACAAAAGAGAATGATCAGTATTGATTTCTGCAGAAATGAAGGGGAAAAAAGATTTTTTTGGCTCTCTTTTCTTAAAAAAACAAAGATATGGGGTAAAAAAGGAAGAAAACAGGCACAGGAGGAATTAAAAGAGCAGTTCTTTCATTGAAATTACATGAACTGAGGACACAATTTTCTGTTGTAAAATCCACATGCCTGTAAAGCTATTTCTTATTAGCTGGTACATACCCTGCAAAGTGGCTACTAATGCCCATTTTAAAAAAAATTTGGCAAAGATGAGGAATGCCTCATGTGTATGGAAGCATTTCGTCAACAGAAACCAACATGGTAATCTTGTAAATGAAGCAACCTAAAGAAAATACATTTTATGTTCTTACATTTCAAAAATGACCTTGAAAGGGCTGATACAATCACCCATCCTACCCCCTACTTCTCATGACAACATTTCTGCAAATTTGACTGTCTTACTACTGTTATTAAGGAGCTCTGGTAGCGTAGTGGTTACGAATCGGGCTGTGAATCTCAAGATCAGCAGTTCGAAACTACCAACTGTTCCGTGGGAGAAAGATGAGGCTATCTGTTCCCATAAAGATTTACAGCCTCAGAAACCCTGTATAGGGTCGCTATGAGTCAGAACCGACTCCAAGGCACAAGACAACAACTACTATTATTTGGGATCAGGGGCCCTTGCAGAAACACATCAACAAAACCTAATCAACGGAAACTTATCTGAATGTTTTCCCCTATAGCTAGAATTTAGGTTACAAGCTGAACGAACAGTATAGCCAGTTTTACATGTTATATAATTTCCACGTTGATTAGTATGAACCTAATATATTTAGCAGGAGCACGGTTGGCTCTATAATCCTACAGATACTGGACTGTGAATCACCAGGTTGGAAGGTTTGAGCCCACCAGCTGCTCCACGGAAGAAAAGGCTTTCTGCTCCCGCTAAGATTTACAGCCTCAGACACACGATACAACATACTTAGCAGCTCTAAGTAACATTTAAAGATACTGTGTTAATCCCAAAACATAATCATCCGTCTTCTAGGTTGATGCTGTCTTTTAAAAATTAATTCAATAGTCCTTAGTTTTTAACCTAGACAAAAACTTCTTAACCACTGACTCTTAAATGCTAAACTGAGATAATCAAAGTTGTGATTTTATGACATTTTATAGTCCTTTCAAGAAATACATCTATTCAGCCAATAGGGTGAAAAGCTTGAAGATTATACAAAACAAAACTGCTGAGAGAGAGAGCTGTTGAAGAGGAATATGAAGCTGTTTAAGAGTACAGAAAAATATGTCATAGGTTTATTTTAGCACATTGTTACTTGGAGCTTCTTTGAAAACTTATCAGAGGAATAAGGCCATTTTGACCCATATGAATGCAGCTGCAATGGTAACCTAAAAATTTCACTTTAAGTTATAGTTCTAGCCTGACCTATACAAAGGTATCAACACTACTGCATAGCAATGATAAATGCTGTAGTATTTCCATATTTAAGATAAAAAAAAACTTCCCATTACATATGCTCCTCAGATATAGCAGCCATATTCCTAAGGTTAACTTTTTCTCTCTAGATTTTCAAAGCCTCAAAGATTGAAATAATACATTTTACTGAAGAAGCAACCAAGCAGAATTTTCAATAATAATTTTTGAAATTAGACAGTCATCTACTTGAGCATTTCAGTAACATATATCTGAACTGTCACTAAAATTATTTCAAGTTCCTTAACTATTTTATCTTTTATTACTGTGGTGTTAACACCAGAAGAATGAAAACAAGTCAGTTAAGCTGAGGAATATGGCCAGTATGGGTATATTCTTACAACTTAAGGATATGCAATAGAGTCCCAACCTATAAAACAAAACAAAACAGCCAGGCCTCGCTTAATGTCCATAATACATTCTGTGAAATATGATGTTACATGTTTTGGATTTTGTGTGGACACTATATTATGTATTATATACAGGTAGTTGTGAGGTCACGAACAAGTTCTTCTCCTAAGTTTGTCTACACATCAAATTTATACAAAGTCAGGACAGTTTTGGTTCATAATTAATAGCAGTTACTCAAATGTGTCTTCATAGATAGTAAATATATAGTATATATCGTTCTATGCACAAAATACATTAAAGAGATTGTTTCAGACATGCTGGAATATCTTTGACATAATACATAAATAATAATAAATGTTTTCATGTGTCTAGTAGAATAGTGACTGTTTGTTATTACAGACCATTGTATAAATCTTGGATTCTGCTCTGGTAGCATAGTGATTATGAATTGGGCTGTGAACCTTCAGGTCAGGAGTTCGAAACTACTGGCTGTTCCACGGGAGAAAGATGAGGCATTCTGCTCCCATAAAGATTTATAGCCTTGGAAACCATGTACAGGGTCACTAATAGTCAGAATCAACTCCATGGCACATAAGCACCACCACTACCACCATAGATACTGGGGCCACAGAAATGTAAGTGTCAGACATTGCCTGGGTAAACACGCAGTGCGTGAGTGTGATTTACTCTACAAGCTCATACTCAAAACATTTTTTTGATTTACCTTTATTTCTGCTACTTTTGATTTTTTCTGCAAGTCCCACACAGTAAGCATATGTTCATTGGAGTCGTCAATAACACATAAATAGACACCGGAGTCCTATGGAAAAGCCAGTTACAGGCATTAGAAAATTACTAGATAAGGCTGCCTTTCAAAGAAATAAACATATTAATAAAACTGTCAAAATCAGGTAACAAAAATCTTTGAAACCCATGGCTCTTTGAAATAAGAATATCATTTATTAAACCTATATTTTCTTTAGAAACAAAATTAAGAGTCTTAAAAAAAAAAATAGCTTTTACTTTTTTCCTGGGTTGATTTCCTCTCGGGCATCTAACCATTCTACTATTCAGTGGTAGTAAATAGTTCATTTTGAGGAACCTTAGTTCCTCCTGCCTTTTATGCTTCCTTCTTACTGTTTGTACTTGTTATTTTCCTTTGAGATAAGTGCAAAGAAACGTACCTCATTTCTTACCTTTGCTCCTGAGTAAATTTCAATAGTTTGAAATGAGCTAAAATTAACAGCTAATTTAAAGCTGGCTGATTTCAGTTTTCCATGACATATTTGATTTATGTTAGCATATATAAAAAAGATTACATAAGAATAAATCAAATTCTTTTCTAGTTTTCTAAAACCATTTTCATTCACATCTCCCAGTTTAAGAAAAAAAACTGTGGCTATTCACCAATGTTTTTTCCTAATACCATTTGTGATATATGTCTTAAAATATCCATGGAACAGAGAAGTGTATTGGTAAAGAGCAAGGGGCATGGGAATGACAGCGGTCACTCCATCCTGCTCTTCGCCTTCCCCTGTATCAGAATGATTAACCCAACTAGGGAAAGCTGATAATACGAAGCTATCCGTGATAGTCTTAATGCTGTAATAATACTATCAACAATGTGATAACAGTTGTGGTTACGGATTTTTTAAAAACAGAAATAGTAAAAGTATTGCTGTCATTTCTGTTCTTTTACCTGCTTTTAAAAGTGTCTTTCTCCCAATTTCTGACTTCTTTGGTCTTTTAACAATGAATGCCTTTAAACTAGCAAAACTCCTAGAGCACCCCAATTTACCTTTCTACCATAAGAGTCCCTCTTCCTTGTCCAAAGCAAATCTCCCAAAGTCTAAAATACCAGAATATAGCTACTGACAGCTAAGAAATGAAGAGATAATTTGAATACTTGATTGTATTCTAAAGCAAAAATGAAGTCCAATATGATTGAAAGAGATATTCACATCTGGGGAAAAAAAAAAAATCCTAAAATGTAGCTCTCCTCTATATATTATTAATGTTGTTATGTGCCGTGGAGTCGGTATCGACTCATAGTGACCCTATACAGGGTTTCCGAGGCTGTAAATCTTTATGGGAGCAGAAAGCCTCATCTTTCTCCCATGAACAGCACGTAGTTTCGAACCGCTGACCCTGAGGTTAGCAGCCCAATTCGTAGTCACTATGCTACCATAATTCAAAAAGAAACAGAACGTTTAAATGAATTAATGTTTTGTCTTCTCTCTCCCCCACCCCCAATAAAACTTAAGGCTTATATGAAACTGCTAGACACTAAATTTTAAACTCATAACGTCATCAAGAACCAACAACCAAGGTAATTTGTAATTTTAGTGAATACAAAGGTTTGATTGTTTCCTCTGCTCCAACATGACACCAAGAAAAGCTAACATTTGTACAGAACTGGGCATGTTTCATGTCTGTCTGTGAGTTTTCTAAATAAAATAGATTTTCTGATTCAAGCTGAAGCAAAAGCACATCACATTGCTTGATTTAAACTGTACCATGCTTTGAATGTATTTCTTTAACCATTTCCTGTGACTTAAATTAGGACAGAACAAAAGAGAATATAATTAAGTATAATACCTTGCATTATAATTAAAGTACTTTAACACTTAAATTACCTGCTGGCCAAAGTTAAGCAATAGCTAACATTTCAGTTTTAAATTCAGAGTTATGATTTTTTATGGACACAAACCTAAGTGTCACTTTTCTACTTCTTGTTCAACTTTTTGTTAGGTGCTGTCACGTCAATTTCAACTCATAAAAGCAGAACAAAACATTACTGGGTCACACTGATCAGGACTTAAAAAACAAATGTTACTCACTGTTTTTGAAAAACTCAGGCATCCTACTCCACGCTCAAAAGTTCCAAGGCCAATAACTTGTAGTGTGGACAGACTAACAGAATCCCACACTCTGACATGGGGTTGCAGAGGCTGCAAAAACAAAAGGAGAAACACAACACAGCAGGATTAAAATGTACGTTAAAAAATAAAACAAAACAAAAAACCAGTTGCTGAGTTGATTCTGACTCATTGTAAACCCGTTTATACAGGGTCGAACGGTGCTCCACATGGTTTTCAAGGCTGTGACCTACTGGAAGCAGATGGTCAGGTCTTTTTTCCAAGTGCTTCTGAGTAAGTTCAAACCATCAATATTTCAGTTAGTAGTTTAGTATTTAACCAGTTTTGCCACCCAGGGACTCCTAAATGGTGCTTCGGTAGATGTACATACCTTTCACTACTACACAGAGCTGCCTGTAATCTTTTAAAAAGTAACAGGAATAGGTAAACGTCCAATAAAAAATTAACTATTATATTTAAAAGCGTGGTGCTGTAGGTTAATTGCACTGGACTGCAGGGTGGTTTTGAACCGCAAGATTGGCAGTTCAAGCTCACCAGTCGCTCCTTGGAAACCTCGTAGAGGGTTGCTATGAGTCAGAACCGATTTGACGGCACTTAAAAACAACAACATCTTGTACCAGTGGTTTCTTTTCAGACTATGAAAATAAGAAAATAACAGCAAGAATAATAGCAAAAAAAATTTTCAATACTTACTACGTACAATACACTATTCCAAAAACTTTACATATATTAACTCAATCTTCATAACAACCACATGAACTAGGTACTATTAGGATTTCAGTTTAAGAGATGAGGAAACTGAGACACAGAGTTAAATAACTTGCCTAATGTTAAGGTCATCAACAATTAATAACTACTGTTGATCCTCCTGATGTGTATTGGACTCCTGGTGTGGCGCTGCAGGATCAGCACAGGATTGCGAACCACAAAGTCGGCCATTCAAACCCACGAGATGCTCCTTGGAAATTCTGTACAGGGTCATTATGAGTAGGAACTGACTCGATGGCAATTAACAACAACACCACTGTTGATCCTTAGAGAGAAGGGACTTGTTATAAACCACTTTAATAAAACGGAACAGTAACGGAAATTGCTTTTCAGTATCAGTCGGGTATAATATAAAGAGGTCTATGATTGCAGGAAAGTTGCAGTAGATGCTGGCAACCATTAAGCTGTTCCATATAATGGAAAATATAACAAGTATATCAGTCCTTCACTTTCATAAACAGTTTCCTTAGTTGTTGTTAAGTGTTGTCAAGCTGGTTCTGACTCACAGCAACCCTGTATAGGGTTTTCAAGGAGCAGCTGGTGGGTTTGAACTGCAGACCCTGTGGTTCACAGTCCATTGACTATTCCACAGCACCACACCAGGAGTTGTCTCCTTAGAGGGAACACTTACTTTTGAAAAAATATTTACATAGTTTGGTCTTTTTAAATGCTCATACATCTTATACTAGTTTTCTTACCCTTGCATATATTAGGATTTCTTTAGTAGCCAAATTTTAAACGAATAAAATAAAATAAAATGAGTTGTGCTTAAATTGCACTAAATTCCATTCCAAAAGCAATTTCGCTAGGTGTAGAATGCAGAACTCACCCTTCCATCTTTATCCACTCCAGCTATTTGTCCAGTTGCAATCCTAATTTTGTCAGGATGTACAGCAAGGCTGAAAAAGCAGTATCCACAACATAATTTTAAATTCAGGAAATTGTGAAATGACAAAAATCTGCCTTTGTATTAATATTTTTCTAACAGAAAAAAATTTTAATCATTGTATTTTTTCCTTTGTCAAACTAAAAAAACTGGGACATAAAATTAAGAAAAATGTTAACCTACTACTGAGGCATGCTAGCAAATTACAAAGTTTTCATTTGTTCAAAACCATTTCTAGTTCAGGTACATCCATAGGCATAAGGTTTTATTACAGTGAAGATGTAATTTTGCAATCCATAATTTTAACCTATTAAAAAATTACTTTAAAATGGAAGAACCATAATGAGAATGTTCACACACTGTGAATGCAACCAATGTCACTGAATAACTTGTGCATAAATCACTGAGTGGGGATCTAAGCAGCTATGTTAACCTTCACTGAAAACAGTATTATTAAAAATAAGTACTTTTCCAACTGCTACAGAATTCTTATGAACATTGCAGATGTAATAGCTTTTCTACAAAAAAAACCACAGCATTAAACTTCTGCACACATCCAATCTTTTAAATTATTATTTTTAATGCTAAACTCTTTTTAGGGTCTGGTGGGATGCTATAGGATAAGCACTAGCCTACTAAACACAATGTTGGTGGTTCCTTGGAAATCCCACAAGGGTTGTTATGAGTCAAAAATGACTGTGCAGCTATTAACAACAATCAACTTTTTTAAAATTTAGACTAGGAAGAAGGAATTTTAAATAAAAATTGAAAATAGTGCAATACAGAAACGTTGTGGAAAAAATGAATGAAAATTCTTTGAAGTTCCCTCCTATATGTCCAAATTGCTCATGATACACTTGAGTGGGTAGCAAACATTTCAAAAATATGTTTCCATGTCTATACCTAAAAATCTATCTCTTTTAACTAATGTGTAACATATCAAATGAAAAGATTAAAAAATGTATTTCTTGCTGTGAAGTATCAATCTAAATTGTCACAAGAAATTTAAACGTTTTAAAGGTTTCAGTACAACTTCCACATATTAAGCATTACAATTTTTAAATACATTGATAATTTGATATATTATCTTATTTTAATTTCTTTGATTACTAAGAAGGTTGTAACTTATCAATGTTTCTTTAAGTATACTGTCTCTTTAAATCAATTATTTTCTTCATCTGTTTGGTTAACAACATGAAAAGTAACTGAAAGTTAAATACTTACCAAACATTTTGCTATATTTAATAATATACTGCTTTTTAAAGTATTTTTTAAAATGGAAATTGCTAGGTTAGCTAATCAATTTGCTTAGTTCAAATATAAAAAGTTATAAAAATATATATTAGAAAAGTTTCTTCACACTTTACCCTCATCTACCAAGATTCCATCTGCCCTTCTATCTTTCCCCCAAATAGAAAACAGTTCATCACTACGACTAATTTCTTATCATTCTAAAATTCTGTACAAATGTGGAGGCCAGGACATATATTTTGCAACTTACTTTTTATACAAACGTAGAACACTGTGAACATTCTTGTCTTTCATATTTTTATTTTTGAGTTTTTATATATAGGTGTGCTGCTATAGGTTAAGCATTACACTGCTAACTGCCATGTTGGCAGTTCAAACCCACATATCATCCCTTGGAAACCCTATACAGGGTCACTATGAGTCAAAACCAACTTGATGGCAGTTAACAACAACATATTTTAAGGACTCCTGGTGGGATGTTGGTCAGCTAACCACATGGTCAGCAGCTGTTCCACAGGAAAAATATGAGGATGTCTGCTTCCATAAAGATTTACAGTTTCAGAATCCCTAAGGAGAGTTCCACTGTCCTGTAGGGTACTAAGAATCAGAATTAACTCAATGGCAGTGGGGTGGGTGACTACCTTAAGGATCTTTTTATATTAATATATACAGAGCTTTCTCATTCTTTTTTACAGCTGCACAGTAATATATAGCTACAGCATAATTTAACTAGTGCATAACTGATGATATTTAGATTGTTTCCAATCTTTTACCATCACAAACCATGTGCAATAAATAACTGTGTACATATATTATTTTCTAAGTCTATAAAGAAATATCTTAATCATCATTAAAAGTCTTTATGAGGGTAAGTCAAAAAGACTTGCTACAAAATTACAGAAAGCTTTATTAAACAAAATTATCAAAATATGAAGCTATTGTTTCTCTATGTATTGTTTACTGGTCTATACATTTTTGAAGGTGATGTTTCCATTTCTCTAACCCTTTCCCAAAGTATTCTGCACTCTTTGATTTACACTATGTCAACATGGCAGTTTGGCACAACACTCAAATCATGTTCTTATGAAATGGTTTTTGAGTTTTGGGAACAAAAAGAAGTCTGAAGAGGTCAGTGCTGTATGTTGGGTGGAGAAAGATGTTCCAAAGAAGCTCCTGTTGAACACCCGTTGCTATCCTCGAAGAATGAGCAAGTGTACTGACCTTATACAAAAACTTCTTCAGTAAAACTTCCCTGGCCTTTTAATCGCCAATGTTGTTGTTGTTGTTAAGTGCTGTCAAGTTGGTTCCGATCCATCACAACCCTGTACAGGGTTTCTGAAGAGCAGACACTAAGCTTGAACTGCCGGCCATGCAGTTCAAATGGCTTTGCAGTCTGAAGCACTAACCCACAGCATGGCCACACCAGGACTCTTGATAAAATAAGCCCCTCCTATCGTCCTGTGCTCTTCAAGAAAATCTATCAAGATTACCTTTCAGAATACCAATAAAGTGGCTATAACTTTCTGAGCTGACCTCTCTGCCTTCAATTTTACTAGCACTTGGAAGCCAATGATTTGATTGGACCTTTTTTTTGAAGGTATCCTTAGAAAAGACAAGTGTGTTGCTGAAAGAATTTGTCTGCAGCCATCCAGCGAATGCATAGACATGTTTACATGTTTTGTTTCGAATAAACCCGTACATGCATAAACTAAAACCCTAGAAGCAATACTATTTGACTTACCTTGTATAATATCCTAACAGTTACATATTAATTTTTTTTCAAGATTAAAGTTGTTACAAGATACTATAAACATAAAGAAAGGAAGATCTTAACATGTTGAAAAATAATGGAGTTAAGCAATACATAAGTGAATTCAACACAATAGCACAATTTATTGGTATTCTAGCGTTGAATTCACTTATTATTGTTGTTTTTGTTAAATGCTGTCAAGTTGGTTCTGACTCATAGTGACCTTGTAGTGCAGTGCACATGCTATAGCACCACACAATGACTCCATTTTCAAACATATGTAATCATTTAAAAGAATGTCTCATCTTTTATGAGGATATTTTGATAGTCTATGGGATACTTTAGATTCTTATTTAATAACTATGACTTCTTTAAAAAAGAAAACAGAAAACAAAAACCCTTGAAGCCAAAAGTTTATCTGTTTAAAAATAATCAGTCTTAGAAATCTGTAAAAGTCCAGTGTGCCCTACACATACTTGAAACTACAGGCTGCAGGATAAGCATGGGACTGCAAGGTCAGTAGTTTTAAAACTCACCATCCACTCCTTTGAAACCCTATGCATTCTGACTCAATGGCACTTTACAACACTACTAACTGCAAGGTCATCAGTTCAAAACCACCAGTTGCTACTCAAACCCCTATACAGAGTTCCAATGAATCTGAACTAACTCGATGGCACTTAACAACACATCAGTAACACTGCACAAACCGATCTGGAGACCTGTAAGTCCTTTTGTCTTTAAAAAATATACTCTATAGAATGCTTCATGTTGTTAGCTGCTACTGAGTTGGACAACTCAGTGACTCCATGTGCAACATAACAAAATGCTGCCAGGTCCTGCTCCATCCCCACGATTGGCCACAGATCAGACTAAAGTGATCCACACAACTGTCATTGGCTGATTTTCAGTAGTAGATTAGCAGGCCTCCCTTCCTAGTCCATCTTAGTCTGGAAGCTCTGCAGAGTATCACAGCAACACAAAAGCTGCTACTGACACACTGACAAGACAGGCGGTGACTACACATGAGATGCATGCACTGGGAACTGAACCTGGGTCTCTTGCATGGAAGACAAGAACTGAACCACCACTTTCCCCCCTATTGAGATGCCTCATAAGATCTTCAAATTTAGGTTTTTGATAAAGCCTAAATAAAATACAAAATGAAACCATAAAAGAGCAAAATTAACAAATGTTAAGTTGATACCAACCATTTCACGCAGTCTTTATGACCCAGGTAGTGTCGCTGAGTTCTTTCCTCATAATTAAATAGTACAACTACTGATGCTATGAAATAAACTATTTCCCCAGTAGGAAGAAGGTAAACATTAGCTCGACAGTCCTTCCCTCTATAACCGTATCTTAAAAGAAAGAGTCAAGGCTTTTAACAAATATTTTCAAAGTGTTAAGTTGGAATTTTTTTCATGACTTTCTGAAAGGGAATCAGGAAAGTATACTGAAAAGAGGATTGCGCTGGACCAAAAAACGCATGTAATCATCTCACTGTGTAAATCTGTGTCTTTTAACATGTTTAAACCTTAGTTTCTCTTCATTCCTTAAATACATACTCAGTTCTTATTATGTGAAACAAAGTGACAATACAGAGGTAAACAAAACAAATGTGGATCCTATCTCCCTAGAGCTAGGGTAAAACAGTATAATTGCAAATGGAGGAAAGGAAAATAATAGGATACTAGAAGAAAAAGCATAAAGAGAGCATCTAATTTGGATGAAAAGAAGGCAGAGTTTAAAAGAAGGTCTATCTGAGTATCTGAGAAAATGACATTTATGCTGGACCTGAACGATGAACAACAGCCACCCACCCCGTCATAGTCTAGGTTAAATATAAGTTGCACAGAATACAGAAATGTTGAGTTTTCCCAAGTTAACCTCTGCCAAGATGAGAAAACTGCAAAGTGTGTGTGTGTGTGGGGGGGGGGGGAGGAGTTGTTGAAAGAGTAGAGGCAGACAGCAGACTTCAAATCAGAAGATCCCTTATGCTTCACCAAAGAGTTCTTTAGAGGTTCTAAGAGAGGTGAGAATTTTTAAGAGAAATGAGTCCATTTAAAAAAAACTGTCTAGAGTTTATTCTAGAATTAGATAAGCCTTGCTAATTTTAACTCTTAAAAAATAATTCGTATCATTTTAGCTTATAAATGCTTTACTATTTCTTATAATAGCTTATTTGTAAGTGAAGAAAGTCAGGTGCATACATGGTAAGTGGCAGGGTCATGGCTCCAACACTGGTCTTCTACTGCACTGCCTTTTCTACCAGACCACAAGCACCTGTTGTGATGTTCATGGAATACTGTTTGTTCTATCCAAAGACATTACTTTCAGTGGCTTTAAATTGCTAACAGTGCATATGAGAAAGGATATGAGATAACAACTACACTTAATGCTTTTTTAATTCTTCAAAAGTGGTTATATCCATAAAAAAAAAAAAGTAAATAAAAAAGAAACTTTTGGTAAAGGTTAGGTAAGCTAATTTTTCTTAAGCTACAAACAAAGCACAAACATTTTCTGTCATGGCAGAAAAGGATACACCCACTCCAGTTTAAGCTTCTCAGGAGGCTGTTCTGTTCTGATGTCATCATAATTGTCAACATCAGAAGGAATGAACATTGTGATTGGCCGTCCTCTCATAAACATTTTAATATATTCTCCTTCTGTTGAAAGAGAAGACAAAAATTAAGTCACACATATTTTCTAAATAATCACAGAGAAGTAGTTCATTATTAACACATATTAAGAGCAGGACACAAACAGCTAGTTTACTTTTCTCCCCAGTATATACAGCTTTTGTTACACAATATATAGCATGTATAAAACAAAGTGGTACTATGCAAATCATGTCCAAAAATCATAGGAAAATAAACTGTTGGTCATTTTTTTAAACGATAATAACTATTTTCATAATTAAGATATAATTTAATCTATTTAAGTTGATACAACTCTACATAGTAGGTAGGAAGACTGAAGTAGAAAAAACGCATACAAATAAAGTAATCTCCAAGCAGGTAAAAGAAGAAAGAGATTACCTAGTAGGAAATAACCAAGTCTATCATACTAATTGACTAAACTACTGATGCTCAATGATACAACAAAGATATAACCTAAGAATACACTAAAGAAGAAAAGTCACACACCTGTGTAAACTAGGGTGGTGTAATAGAGAGACTAAGACCTTTGCTAGGAAGCATACGAGCAGAACTAGAAGGCACAGACCAACTTCTCTAACTTCACAATTGTGCCTACCATAAGCCTTGGGTCCCAAAAATTCAAATCAATTATATTATACTCATATTCAAGACATTCTAGGAAAGTTTTCTGTTTAGTAGCATAAGTTCTAAAAATGTATTGTTTATAAAAACCAACAGTTGTTTATAAGATCCGAATCAGTTCAAAACGGAAAATGCTCACAGACACGTCTAGAATCAAATCAATATTTCTTCTACATCTTTTACAAAAGGAAACAGCACTTCACTTAGCTAAGGACTGCCTCTCCTTGCCTCTTTCAATAAAACAAAAACAAAAACAAAAATCAACCCTCACTGTCCCTTGCACCCCAGTGACCAAGATACAGATAGGTCTAATAAATGTTGTCCTCATGGTTATGAAAGAACCTAAAGGAGAAAGAAAATGACTGGACTACAAAGCACAGAAAATATCTAGCACTTGCCACCTCGCCTGGTAAGATAACGAAAATAGCATAAGAACCAAACTGAAAATGTGGTTACTGTAATTAACCAGAGGATGAAATACAGTCCCAGAATTTCTAATAATGACCTAAGCTGCCTAAAGAGAAAGAGTATGTAGCTACGTAACTGTTTATATAATGCAAACCATGGAAAAGGAAGGAAAGATAAAGATAAATGACTTGCTGAATATCTGTAAGTATTTCTTCAGAGTCAGACTGGTTGTGCTTGTTATGGGTGAGAAGTTCAAGTTATTTTTATTATTATTACTCACTGTGTGCTCAGCCCTAGGGTTTGATCTAAGAACAGGCAAACACCTCCCACACTATGGTTTGAACACCATATGACATATGTCTTTATTACTCCTGAATCTTAGAGTGGGTTCTCCTTCCTGTTGATTTTTACCATAGCTGGACTTTGAAGATAACTAAATGATTATCAGATACAACTAACTCTCTTCTGTGATTACTCCTTATCTGTATCTTATAGGTTATCTGTTATCACGTACGTTTACTTATTATATATTTTTAAATATAATGAATTGTTGCACAAATGCTTCTATTGTCATTTAGAAGGGAATGGATGTTCAGAATATAGAAAAAGGTTAAAGTGAAAATCAAAGGGAAAATATGCTCTTCTTTGCTAATAAACAGCTCTGAATATTGCAACGATTCCTTATAAACTGTCAAATCACAAGCAACTAAGTTGAAAAGCTAAAGGACTGTTGCTTGTCAGTTTTAATGTGTGTGTGTGCACGCATGTGTGTGTAAGTACTGTCAAGTCATTTCCGACTCATAGGGACCCTCTATGGGGTTTCCAAGGAATAGCTGGGGAGTTTGCTTTTATAGTATAATACAAAAACAGCAATACATGTTATAATGAAAATGCTTCCACTGCCTATAAACTGGCAGTGTATATGTTAAAGACCAAGTATATAATCTAGGCACTGTGGATAATTCCAGAGCCTGAGATAGAGGCAATACATTTATATACTGGAAAGGAAAGAGCTTTGGAAAAAGATTGGCCTCGTGTGAATCACAGTGTTAGCCCGTACTAGCTGTGTGACTTTGGCCTCATTTTCTTAATACATATAATTATACTATTTACTGCTCAAGACTATTATCAATTTAAAAAGACATCACACTTTAAGGCTCAATATGAGGTCCTCAACAAATACTCCCTTTCCTTTAAGGATTTGTGAAAGAATCTAAACTGCCTAGAGCAAATGCTTATTGCTGTTGTTAAGTGTCATCAAGTCAGTTCTGACTCACAGTGACCCTGTATAGGGTTTCTAAGGAGCAGCTGGTGGGTTTGAACTGCTGACTTTGTCGTTAGCAATCCAGTGCTTATCCTATAGCGCCACACCAGGACTCCTATCTAATTATTATACATGACTTAATATACTATAATATTTCTCTTCATAAACTTTATAATGGCCATTCAAAGACCAGCAAGTGTAAGGAGATAAACTAAGAGTTCTGAGCATTCTACCATCTACATTTTAAAACAGGGTTCACAAGTTTAAATGCCTACAGGACCCAGCAAAAAAAAACGCAAATGGCAGAAGTGGGATACTACTGATCACTAAGGGCTGGAAAGCACTAGTTTATCCTACAGAGCCATACCAGGATTTCCAGAATCACTGTAAAATCAAATTCTTACTACAAACTTTTTCTTGAAGCTCCAAGGTTTCTTGATCTTACTTATAATGAGAGGAATTTTCAATTTGTTTGTTTTACCCCACTGCTCCTTTCTGGATGTCCTCACTCTAAACTACCATGAAAGTTCAGGGAAGAGGGTGGACCTTTATCACTGATCAAAGTAGAAAAAGAAAAACAAGAAATTATGAAACTATCCATCCCATGATGAACAGAATAAAGCTCTCAGTACTCAGTAATGAAGCTGTTGCTATGGAAATGTAATTTATCTTAACATTTTATTTCCTAGCTAGGTACTGTGTATACACAATACTTGAGATTAAGACGCTATATATAATATAGTGGGGCAAGAACTGAAGCTTTGTAATAAAGCCACAGACTCTGATTTAAATACCAGTTTCATCATTTTCTAGCTTACATGCAAGCTGGTGGGTTTGAACCGAAGAATTTGAGGTTGGCAGTCCAGTGCTTATCCTATACTGGTACACTAGGACTTTTGATCAGTGATGTTGTTGTTGTTAAGTGCCGCTAAGTCAGTTCCAACTCATAACAACCCTGCAGAGGGTTTGCAATGAGTGGTTGGTGAATTAGAATCACTGACCTTGTGGTTCAAACCTACTTCAGTCCAGTGCCACAGTAGGTAGTTTAATGACAGAAGAAGAAATTCTGTAGGATCTTGTTGATAAAAATACCTTTAACGCCATTAGTTTTTTTTACACTGGAGCTACAATAAAATTTAAATTTAAACCTCTACTTTTACCAAAGGAAAATCCCAGGCTCAGGGAGCTTAAATGAGGTTTCAAAATTATGTTCCAAAATGCTGCCTGTTATTTAGAATTTGGGCACCATTTTCACTCTCTCTAAACCTATGTTCAAAATGATACCCTGTAGCTACTGAGCACGTAGCATGTGGCTAGTCTAATTTGAGATGCCAGAAATAGTGATTACAATTTTATAGAAAGTGAGAAAGGTAGAAAGTAGGGTAAAAGTCTCTATTTAAAATATCCCCCTGCCCCCAAATGGATTTTAAGTCCCCGTTAATTATCCAGTTATTTTATAATAACAATCCAAGATTTAAAAAATGTAATGGAACAATGTAATTTGGAAGAATATTTAACTTTGAAAGGAAACTTGATTGGTACTATCCATTATGTACAAATTTCACTTCTTTTCGATGGTTTAGCTGTGAAAATAAATCATAAAGTACAGATCCTCAAATCTAAATCAATAAAGGGAACTTAAAAGAAGTCCTGGTATGGCACTATACTATGTACTGGATTGTTAACTGCGAGGTCAGCAGTTCAAACCAACCACAGTCGCTCTTTGGAAACCCTATACAGGTAGGAAATGACTTGACAGCACTTAGTAACAACAGGATATAGTCTAACACTCTATATTACAGATTTTAAAAATTCTTAGCTATGGTGCTTGCTGGAGAAAGATGAAGCTTTCTGCTCCCTCAAAGATTTAAAGCTTCAGAAACATTATATAGGATCGATGGCTAGGAGCCGGAACCCCACTCAACAGCACTTAACAAAAACAAAGGTCCTTGCCAAATGCTTTGCAGTAAATTTTGCTGGCTAGGAAAAGAAATCAGATATGAAAAATATGACTTAGTACTAAAAAGATTACATTGATTTTATTCATCCTATAGGCTGTAAATTTTACTGACTACTTAATTAGCTTAGAGGAAGAAGGGCACACAATGAAAACAGAAAACACTTGAACTCAGCCCTTTAGGAGTTTACAGTATAGACACAACCAAGGTTTACACACATGCTAATCAACTCTTACACTAATTATAGTAATACTCTAACATATAACTACCTATTTCCTTCCTTTTGAAACTCCCTTAAGATTTTTTTGCTGTTTTGTTTACAACTGGGATCATCATAAAAATAAATGAAAATATGCAGATATGGGATTTTGCTTAAGCAAATGTCTTAGATTATTTTAATTGTTTACAAATTGCCTAAACCATCCAGAATCCATGTATTTCTTGCTATAAACCCTGGCATAATCTCAGTCAGGTCAGAATATAGGAAGGACTGCAGCACGAGAGAGTTCCATGCAAAAATATTCTATGATTGAAGTCTATTCTTCAGATAGGATATCTGATGGAAGTGGCAAATTAGCAGACTCAGATAGTTAAAATTAAGGTTAGTGAAATTAACATTTAATGTTATCACATTCCAACATCTGAGATAAGCTTTTTGAGTTAAAATTCTTGTAACAAAATTTAACTTCTTTTTCTATATCCTTTTCCAGCTTGTCATTCGACCTTTCTTTCCAAATAGGTCAAAACAATGTTAAACAATGCTTCTGTATCAATTCTCTTCCATTTAAAACACGTACCTACACCAATAGTTTTTAAAACTGTCACCAACACCAATCACTGACATATTTTACATACCAATTCTAAACACTTTTTTTCCTTCTAAAGAAATAAATACACGAGAAAGAGGCTGGAAAGGCCTTCTTAGAACATTCGCCCAATAAGGATTTTATAACAGTTGGGCTCTTCAGAAAATATCTAATAATAATACCTTGTTATAAGATGAGGCTTTCTGCTCCCGTAAAGATTTACAGCCTTGGACCCTGTACAGGTCGCTAATGAGTCGGAACCGACTCCACGGAACACAGCCACCACTACCATAGATACAGTAACACAGTGTTTTCTGTTTTTAAGTTACCTTCACATTTAAGATTTCATCCTTCAGCAGCCATCTGAAATAAGCTATGCAGCTTTTATTTTCAGATTAGAAAACTACTCAGAGACACAGTCATTTGGGCTGGGTCAAAAGTCTGTTATGCAAAAAGAGTCAAAGCCAAACACTAAACAGTGTTTCCTCACCCACTGCTCTTTCCCACCATACATCAATTTTCAATTAAAAAAAAAAAAAAAAAGTTCTGACGTATAATGCATGAATTATCCTAGCAAATATAATTTCCTTTCTTCATTAAAGTATTTGACTCATTATTTACTGGATACTTACTTATAAACAATGGTAAGAGAAAGTAAGGTACAACTAAAGTATACCAGTAAGCTTCCATTTTATTTAGAATTTGTATGTAAAAAAAGTCCAAAGATGATTTATAAATGAGTATTTTCTTATTAGAACCAAAGGAAGCAAAGCTCCACAGAAATTAAGATTAAATTTCTTAAATATTTTAACCACATTGTAGCTGGCTAATAAAAAAGCCCAGAAAATAATGATAACAGGACACATAGACATGAGCAGTTGAAAAGCATGCACAGAAAGGACATGCTTTCATTTAGAATAGCATGCTTCAATTAAATTTGCAGGCAATCTAAGGAGAATGTAAAACTGAGTATAAAACTTACCTACTTTGTCATTAAATTAAATACACATCTATAAAAAGTCTGCTTTCCTTTTTTGGTCAGAACAAGCCAACAACAGCAAGTAGCCAGAAATTACCATTAATATCAAACAAAAATTTAAGAGGAAATGGATTTGCTAGACTCAATATATTTTCAGTCTTAGCTTCAAGAAATGAGTGATTATTTGCAATGAAGTTGGCAAGACAGGAAATTGAGTTAAAATTTATCAATCTTTTAAATGGCTTTTCTAAGCACAACTTCTTTGAAAAGGGGAAAAAAACCCTTTGGTATTCTATACCTCTTTGTAATGCTGTGTTTTTACTATTCACCTTGAATCTTTAGATCTTACAGAAATAAAGTAGGTTATTTTTTAATGTAGTTAAATTCACTAGTTCAAAATGACATTTTCCTTTTACTAAGAGGGAAGTCAGGTAGTATACATAATGAAAAGCCAGATAAGAGATCAGGAAGAAATTAACTTAGAAGGCAACCAACTGTGTAGCTTATTCTTACCTTGGCTGTTTTTTTCACGGGTTGACATTTTTGCTGGTTGAGACAAAAATGACACAACTTACAATAAAAACTGGGCATTTTCTTAAGTAATTATTTAGTAATGTACATTTTCTTGATGACTATGAACTAATATAGAACACAGAAAGTAAGTCAACATTCTTAACAATTATTAGCATGAATTAAACTGATGTATAAAAGATATTTTTTAAAGGATTTTTAATTTACCTTGGTTTATGATGACATCTTTATGCCTAAAAAGAGAATTCAAAAAACACATTTATTTTAGAATCTTGCTTGGCTGACCATTATAATCACCTGAAGAAATTTCCAAAGCTTTGCTGCTTAGGCTACACCCCAGATAATATCTGATTAAATCAAGGCAGCAGAACTTTTTAAAGCGTCTCACTAGTCTCAACTAAGAATCTACTGCTTTAAAACAGACTAACTGTTCCAAAAGATTACCTAAGCAGTAAAAGCACAGGAAAAACCTATAAATACTACTCAAATATCCTGGAATTACTGAAATTTATTATTTGAGTAGGATAGTAGATAAGAGGAAGATACAGATTTTCTTAGAATTACTTTTAAAACAAATTAATTGATTAAAAAAAATCTCAATCAGGCATATAATTGCATATGTAAGCATAATCATAGAATTACCAATTTTCAGATATAACTAAGAAAGTATAGTACTTATCTTAATTTTTATAACTCTGATATTAATTTTTAATTACTGTGGATGAATACGTATAATACAAAGTTAGCAATTTCAGCATTTAAAAATGTACACTTTAGTGGCATTAATTACATTCATAAGGGTAGTGTAATCATTAGTACTTTCTATTTTCAAAAGTTTTTCATCAACCCAAATAGAAACTCTGTACCCTAATATTAAGCAATAACTCTCCATTTCCTTTTATTCCAATCCTGGGAACTCGTAACCTACTTTCTGTCTGTTCTACCCAAATTCAAGGTAGTCCAAAGATGTGAAATCATGTATTCGTACTTTTGTGTTTAATTTAGCATAATTTCAAGATTGATACATGTTTTAGCAGCATGTATTAGAACTTAATCTATTTTAATGACATAAATATTCTATTGCAGGTATATATCATATTTGGCTTATCCTTTCATGTGTCGATGGGACATTTGTTGCTACTTTTTGTGAATAATGGTGTAGACCTTAGTTCTACAAGTATTTGCCCAACTCACTCCCTGGAGACCCTATACAGTGTAGCTATGAGTTGAACCTACACAACTACAATTAACAACAACATGGTAATATGGTAGGCTTAACTTTTTGAGAAAACAACAAATGTTTTCCACAGTGGTGGGTACCATTTTACATTGTCACTAGCAATGCATGAGGGTTCCAATTTTTACATATTCTCACTAACTCTTATCATTTTCTGGTTTGGGTTTTTTGTGTGTTTTTTTGTAGGTGTGCACAACTAAGAGCCATCCAACTGGCTGTGAAGTAGTATAATACTGTAATCCTGGTTTGCCGCTGTAGCATAAGTACTGGACTGCTAACTGCAAGACTGGTGGTTCAAATCCACCTATACAGGGTCTCTATGAGTCAGAACCAACTCAATGGCACTTAACAACAAATGACCTTTGCCCATTTTTAATTGTGTTGTTTTTCTTTTTCATTGTTGAGTTGTAGGAGCTCTTTATATATTCTGCATAGTAAATCCTTATCAGGTATATGGTTTGCAAATATTTTCTCTCATTAGGTAGGTTGTCTCTGCACATTCATGATGATGTCCTACAATGCATAAAAGTTTTAATATTGATGAATTACAAGCTATATATTGTTTCTTGTTTTAGTGCTTTTGGTGACGTAGCTCCTAGTATATGGTAAAATCCAAAGTCATGCATATTTACCCCTATGTTTTCTTCTATGGAATTTTGTGGCATTAACGCACTAGGTTCCTTTATTTATTTTGCAAACATTTTTTTAAATTGTGGGGTAGGGAGTCCAACTTCACTCTTTTGCATATGAAAATTTAGTTATCTCATCACAATTAACTGAAGGTAGTATTCTTTCTCCAACTCAATGGTCTTCACATCCTTGCTGAAAATCAGTTGGCCATTGAGTGTTTATTTCTGAATCCTCAATTCTATTCCAATGGTCTGTATATCTATCTTTTATGCCAGTACCACACTGCTTTGGTTTATTGTTGTTGTCCAGTGCTTACCCTACAGTGCTATACCAAGATTACTGTAGCTTTGCAGTAAGTATTGAATCAGGAAGTATGAGTTCTCCAGCGTTAATCTTATTTTTCAATATGGCTTTGGTTAATATGGGTCTACTGAAGACTGAGTCTATATTGAGGATAGGGAAGGTATTGAATCTGGGAGCATCGTGGCTCTTAGGATAAACTAAGAATCACAGACCAGCTGCTCTGTGGGGAAAAGATGAGGCTTTCTACACCCCATGAAAAGATTTACAACCTCAGAAACCTTATACTGGGTTGCTATGAGTAGGAGCAGACTTGAAAGCACTTCACAACTAGCATTGAATCTGTGAATCATTTGGGGTAGTACTGACACCTTAAGTCATCTTGACATAGATCATGAACATGGATTATCTTTCCACTTATTTAGGTCTTCTTTCATTTTTTTGTGTGAGTCCCAGTGGCACCATGGGTTAAGCATTGGGCTGCTAAATGAAAGATTAGTAGTTCAAATCCAATAGCTGCTCCATGGCTGAAAGAGGAGGCAGTCTGCATCCATAAAGATGAAAATCTTGGAAATGCTAGGGAGCAAGTGTACTCTGTCCTATAGGGTTGCTATAAGTCAGAATCAACTCAACGGCAGTGGGTTTTAAAATTTTGTTCTTTCAGCAATGTTTTATATTTTTCAGTGCACAAGTCTTTCACCTCCTTGGTTAAATTTATTTTAGGTATTTAAATTTTTAGAAGCTACTGTTATAAATGGCATCTTTTCTTAATTTCCTATTCTATTGGTTCTGTTCTGATTTTTGTGTTTTGGTGTTTATTTTGGTGAAGTTGCTCTTAACAATCTATCATGACTATCATCTGAATTTTCCCATGAGATACTTAGCTGGTAGTTGTCATTTCACGCTAGAAGAAAAAGTCTAAAAGTACCAACCACATGTAATTGGTAGTTCAAATATAATACAAAAGCAGCACTTTACACTTCCTTAAAGCTAATTTATATAAAAGAAGAAAAAATTATAGGGTCTGCCTGGATGAGTGAAGGCATTTACAAGGTAACTACAATTTTCACTATTATTTTTAAGATTCACTAGGGCAAATGTTAACTGATAAAAATATCTACGCTTTTTATTGTTGTTAAAAGATCTCATCACTTAATCTCTGGGTATTAATAATTTATAGTTAATAAATTATGGGATTAAAAGTAAAGCTCTTGCTGTATCATTAGACAGAAGTTCACCCATATCAGAAGTTAAGCAGGGATTAATGTAAGATTGTGCTATTATCAAAATTGATTCCCTACATCAATAACTGAAAAATTTTAACTAATAAATGGTATTTTTGACTACATTGATAACTGCCCTACATCTCATACAGTCTTTAATACTTCATGCAACAGTGAAATCCAAAGAGCAATTTAGAGTGGCAAGCACATTTCAAGAAGCTGAAAGAGAAAAAGTTTGGAATGAGGAAGACATCAAGAAAAACTCCACATGAAGCCAAGCAGAAGAATTATACTATTTAGATAGTATTAAGTATCTGTGTGAGATACATAAGACAAAGCATTTTGTAAATGTTAAACATGCATCAATTAAGCGTTTGCTGTTTTGTTTTCCAAATTTCCATTAGAGCAGAGGTAAATTATTAACTGATCAAATAAAAATATTTTACAAATTAAAGAAAAAAAAAGATTGTCACTGATTTTACTAAAATTCTAATCAGTTCTGGAATAGCTTATTTCCTAAAATTCCCAAAATAGGGTAAAATTTATCTGTAACTGATCATAAAGCTTAAATAAGCATTTCTTAAACAGTCAAATTTCATAAAATTGTTCTACATATTTGACTGCAAGGCAGTTGTCAGCTTTTCTGATGGTTAACTTAGTTAAGATTATGATTCTCAGCAGTTAGACTAGATATTGGACTGGTTGTTGTAATGTAATATACTCATTGTTCGTGATGAAATCTGATGTGATCAACCAATCAGTTGAAAGGGGAATTTTTTTAAGGGTATGGTCTGCTTCTAGACTATAAATGGATATTTTAATAGCACTCTCTCTTGACCCTGTACTTTTTTCTTGACTGATCTCCATTCTTGGGACATAAATGCACCTGCAGGAAGTCTCTGGCCTGCAAACCCAGTAATATAGTCTCCAGCTTGCTGCATGACCTACGAATCTGGAAGCTGTTAGCTCTCCAGTTGTGTGAGGCAATTCCATGCGGTAAATTTCTCTCTTTCTTTATCCCTCTCTCTTTTTGTACGGATATAAATGGACCCCTGGTGTGGTGCTGTGGGTTAATGCACTGGACTGCAAACTAAGTTAGAACTACAAAGTTGGTGGTTCAAGCTTCTCAGAAACACTACACAGGGTCACTATGGGTAAGAACCGACTCAATGGCACTTAACAACAAATACATATTTGTATAAACACACACACAGAGACTATATACACACATATAAATATGTATATATAGAGACAGTCTCACTGGTTTTGCTCCTCCAGAGAACTTAACAGCACTGAACTTTCAGCATGCAGGGTTAAATCCCCATTTTAAAACCACACACATAGAATGTTTTTCCCTTCTCCCCTTCTCATAATTTAAATATATTAATTATTATAGACACAGAGAGAAGCCCTCACGCAAGCCTTTAGCAAAGAAAAGATCAGATGAAATAGACAATTTTTCTACTCAAGCAAGAACTTATTCTCCCAAAACCCAAAATTGAAATGAAGAACCACTTGTTGACAAGAGCCCTTACAAGTTAAAGGTTGTAATGATGCCAAAATATGGTAAGGACAATTCAAAGTGGCAATTTTGTATTCACAGCTATAAATTTACTCATACTTAAGATAAAAATGTAAACAGTAATCTAACATTTTATTAGGAAATATTCTGCTGTGGTTTTACAACAGGTTATTTTTGCCTGCTTTTCCTCAGATTATGTTTATAACTGAGTTTATTTTTTAAGGTTTTAACTGAGAAATTTTGAATATAACCCTAATTTCCAAATGTGGTAAAGATTATAACAACAAAGAAGAATTAGGAAAAAAAACTAAACCAAACACTAGATTTTTCTCCATAATTCATGGATAGCTAACTTTTTCCCAAGTCAAAGAATTTAGGCATCATTACAACCATTCTCTAGCTCTGTACTCAAGGACAGTTAAAACCTTTTGGTGAGAGCAGAATTCTTGCTTTCTTGAGTTTGTCTGTGTATTTGTAGAGGTTGTGAAGAGGGCTGGGGAGAAGGTGATGCTCGAATTTGTGGACTTTGATCATTAGAATGAGATTCCTCTTTTTTTTCTCTCTGTCCTTGTGGTCTCTCTTTCTTTTTTTCTGTACCACTGTAAAATAAAGTATAACACGGAACAACACATATTTAAACAAGTAAAGAAATATAAAGTAAATGACGGAAAAATGATTACTATATAATTAACCTAAGTTATATAGCTAATACATACAATTTATACTGCTTTTATTCAATAATGAAAACTGATCTCTTTAAAAATTCTGGAAGCTATTAAAATCTTACATAAAAAAAAAAATATATATATAAGAATTCTTAAGCACTATATCCTATACAGACTACCTTCTTTACACTGAAATGGCCTCTAATACATTTTGCCATTCAGCAGATTTGAGAGACTAACCTCTCTAAATTGACCTAAATTTACAAAATCAGAGGATTAGTCACACTTTCCATTTCCTGTGTAAAACACATTGACAAATGCCCAAGTCCCACTATCTGCTCATGTTGAATGGGTTATTCTCTAAACATTCTATTTCTCCTATATATGTCTGCTCCTGCCAATTGACTTTTAAACTTACCCAGAGTCATCTATCTTTGCTCCCATATATGCTCAAGCCAGTGGTACTTATTTTATGAGTTAATTAAGTAAAAAGGAAATGGAAAACATATACATAAAAGAGAACTGTAACTGCTGTGAAAACAAAGGTGAAGGTTTATGAAAGACTCCACAAAAATTAGTTGCTGAAAAAAAAAACTGCTGTTAAATTGGGGTTGAATGAGACAATTTTAAAAGGTTGAAAAAAAAACAAAACAGGAAGAGATTTCTAACTCATATTGGTTTTCAAGTTTTGAAAGTCTAACTGCTTTAAAAAGGAAACAAAGAATAATTGTTAAATGATGTGTGAACATATCTTATGTAAGATATTCAACAAAGAATCTGATCAGACTCAACTCTAGAAAGAAAGGAGGCAGAAAGCTTGATTTTTCATAAAAAAGCTGAGAGAAAATCATGAATGTATTTTAAATTTAAAACAAGATATTTATGCATCAATTTCTAGAATTCTGCATTTTGACACTTGATATATGAACTACCAATCCCAACAACAATGGGTAAGAGTGCTGCTACCACACAAACACTCTTGGCAAGAATCCAAAACAGATGGAATTCAAGACTTGCATTGCAGTGTTGAAAAGGTAGGAAACTCTCAATTTCTTATACTTACTTCAAAGAACATTTCATAATTTGACTATAAAATGTATAATGTATAAGGAAGTGTGTTCAAAAACATTTTAAACAAACATACAAGGTATGTGCAAGTGTGAGTCATAAATCATCCACACTCCAGTTTCCACTTCCACAGCTGATGACATTGAGCATGCATGTGAAATGATTCTGTTGAACAGACGAGTGATAGTGCACAATGTGGCAAATTATGTACAAATCAGCCATGACTCTGTCTATGAAATAATCCACTCAGACTTGGGTTTTAAAAAGTTTGTGAGAAATGGGTACCAAAACAACTCATGGAAGAGCATGAACAGAAAGAAATGATTGGGCATCTGCAAACAAAATTCAGAACGATACTCAACGGAAGGTAAAAGCATCTTACTAGTGATGAGATATGGGAGAGTATGTTACATCTTCAACCATCGACCAAGAAAAAGTTCAAAAGCCAACCATAAGCTGCAAAATTGATGCTGACAGTTTTCTGGGATTCTCAAGGGCCAGTACTGGAACACTCACAGGAAAGAGGTTCAACAATCACCAGTGCTCATTACAGTGAGATGCTCACTGAAGAGCTGAAGTCTAAACTTTGGATGAATCTCAGAGGACTGGTATCCAAAAGGTGCTGTGATCTTGCATGACAATGTACGTCCACACACCTCTACCTACACTGCTGACATTCTGCAAAAACTTTGTTAGAGATGTTAAAGCATCCTCCCCCTATAGTTCAGATCTTGTTCCATATAGCAGTTTCACCAGTTTGGTCCCCTGAAAGCAGCACTTTGAGGACCAAGATACACCTCTCACAAAGAAGTGAAGACAACGGTGCACTTGTGGTTCCCAGCTCAGCCTAAAATTTTTTTTACAGGAACACGAAAGCTTGCTGAGAGATGGACACGATGTATTAAAAAGCAAGGAGATTATGGTGAAAAATGATGTCTTTGTCTTTTCTAGAAGTTTTTAAAAATAAATTCTACAGCCAGAATACGGATAATTTTTTTCTCACCCTCGTATATTTTAACTATTTCATTATAATAGCTAAAAATGTTGTAATACAATCTTGAGTGTGACATGTCTTACTCTGATCTGGTTCTGACACTTTAGGACTCCAGACTAGTCCTTGGTTATTTCATGTTTAATCTTACTTAAAAATATGCTAAGAAATATGATTCTGTCTTCAAAACATTGTATTTACTTGAAATAAAAATACTGAGAAGTTACTTTTATTCTTACTGACATTTCAACTATTCCAAACTAAAGGCCACTAGTTTTATGGACTCCTGGTGTGGCACGATAGGATCCGCACTAGACTTCAAACCACAAGGTCAGAGGCTCAAACCTACCAGTCAGTCACTCCTTGGAAACCCTGTACTAGGTCACTATGAGTTGGAATGGACTTGATGGCATTTAATAACAAACAACAACAATTTTATATAGGCCCAGTAGAACCAGAAGAGATTTCATGTTGGGCTGTTTAAAAGCAGAAAACAAAATTCCTATGTCATAAAATAACACACTCAGTTGGTCTTAGATATTTGCTAGTTTTAGACTGTGCATAATACAGATCACTGAACAACTATTTATGTAATAGGTGCAATCTGGGCCATTACTGGATAGAACATAAAAGTTCATTTAAAATGATGACAATAACTTCAAAAACTGAATTCTAGAATAGATTTTTTAAATACCTGAATTTCTTTCCCCAGTGTTCCTGTAGTCAACTGTTTGTTTGCTTAAGTATTTAAATTCACACTGAAGAATATAATTCAGTCACTGACATTAGTTTATTTAGTTAACTATTTTCCCATCAGTAAATTGTTAACTATTATTCTATTAAGATTTACCCTCATTAATTGAAGAGAGCAATTGTTAAGCAATTGTTGGTATCTTATCACCTCTGAAAGCTCTGTATGAGATGATCTGCTAGGAACTGTACAAAACGGGGAAAAGCCTGTAAATAATCTTAATCAAACAGACCAAATTAATTAGTTCAAGCAAACCTATAGAATTCAAATCTATAATCTACTGAAATTTGTTTTACAATACGTCCACTGCCTCCCTGCACAGCATACCCAAATACAAACACATTCAAAACACAGTACCACTGATTTCATAAGTAATGGCTAAAGAATAAGGAAGGAAGTATAGCATTTACTCTCCCATTAATGCAGATAGTCCTGGTGTAGTACTGTAGGATACAACTACTGCACCTCAAGGTCAGTTTGGACCACAAGGTCAGCAGTTCAAACCCAGCACAAACTCCTTGGAAATCCTATACAGGGTTGCTATGAGTTGGAACTGACCCAAGGGTACTTAACAGCAACAACAAAGCTAACTATAAGGTCAGCGGTTCAAACCCATCAGCTACTTCTAGGAAACCCTATGTTGTTCATTAGTGCTGCTGAGTTGGTTCTGACTCATAGCAACCCTGTATAGCATTTCCAAGGAGTGGCTGGTGGGTTTGAACCGCTAACCTTGTGGTTAGCAGTCTAGTGCTCATCCTCCAGCACCACACCAGGACTCCTACGAAATCCTAACAGCATCATTATAAGTTAGAACCCACTTGATGGCACTTTAACAGGATCATTATGAGTTAGAACCCAGTCGATGACACTTTAACAGCAACAAATTAGACAATTCTAAATTCTCTCTTAACCCTTTCATGACCAGCAAAACACATAGTGCCCACCTAAATTTTCCATCTGTGATGCTTACTGGGCAGCTGCTTTCCCACTGACAGTGCATGCAGCCATAGGAGCAGACCTATATAACCCTGTCAAACAGAATAAAATGGGCATTTGCTGCAAATTACTGTTTTTACAGCAGGGTTAATGCATCCTGGAAGTGTGGTTTTGTTAAACTTCCATCCCTGTTGGCTTTTTTATTGGGAGATATGTCTTGTAAGTTGGTTACCAGGTTCCTGTGAGTTAGCTGGAAGTTGCCTTTCTCGTTAAGATTTTATGTACAAATGATTACTACATTTTCAGGCACTCCCTGCCCAGGGAGCTAGAAGGTGATGTGGAGCCTAGAGAGACAGATATGTCTCACATAACATGAATCAAAATCTCTATTTCACAGGAACATTTCAGAAGTGCTTCTGGATGCAGTATGCCTTCCATTAAAAGAAACAGATGATACCAACATAAAAGTAAAAAGAGAAAATAACTGGGTCACTGTTGCTGTTGAATGCCATCGAGTTGGTTCTGACACACAGCAACCCTAGACAGAGTTTCCAAGGAGTGGCTGGTGAGTTTGAACTGCCGACCTTGCGGTTCAAACTGACCTTAACAAATGCTTATCCTACAGTAGCACACTAGGACTCCTAAATGAATCATGTTGTTGCTAAGTGTCTCGGAGTCGGTTCTGACCCATAGCAATCCTGTATAGGGGTTTCCAAAGAGAAGCTGGTGAGCTTGAACCTTGCTGTTCAAATCGACTTTGCAGTCTAGCGCATTAACCCACAGCGCCACACCAGGACTCCATAGAAGAGTTGATATACTATGTCAAATATATCACTAGAAATGCAAACATTCACTTATATAAGTTCACTGAATACAACAATCTTTATCTCATAAATAATTTCTTTAAGAAATAATTTTAAAAAATGAAATGAAATCACTTTCTTTTACTTAGAATCAAAACCTCCCCCACACAGTCGATAGAATACAATGAATACAAACATAAAGAGTACAGTTTGGTTATCTCTACATTTAGAGTTTAAAAATTCAAAGGGCAGACTCACTTGGATTCCATTCAGCTCTATTTCATATTCTTTTCAAAAGCAGACTGATTTACTCAACTTATACAATTTTGCAATGATATCTTTTTTATCCCTGACAAATAGGTACCTTTTAGCAGCAGATGAAAAAGTTTCTTTTCTTGCAATTGAGACAGAGCTGGTATGACTAGATTTTCGGTTTCCACCACTGCCATTGGTTATACAGGACATAGAAATAGCTTCTCGAAGGTTTGGCTGGCCTAAAGAGGTTAAGAAAAAAAGATATTGTATCAAACTTCAAAATGTTCCTCAAAGACTAAAGTGTTGAAAGTAAGTCACACTAGCATGCAGCATACAATATTATTGTTTCAAGATTTAATCGTACTAAAACATAGAACTTTAGAGAAGTCATACATCATGGATCTTCAAAAATAACTCAGGTACTACTGAAGCTATGAAGTGTATATCCCTGAAACCATTCATTTTAGATCCTAGAGTTTTTTCCTATATAAAAATATAGCTATATTTAGTAATCTCTGATTTCTTGAGTTACATAGTGTAAGAGTTAGATTAACAGTTTAGTGAGTATGCTGGTGTGCCAGTAAAACTCAGTCAGCAGACAGCCATTATCTATTAAGGTTCATTTTCAGTTTAAGATTTGGGAATAGTGAATACTTTAAAACTTTTGTGCCCAGCTTCCTCACATGTACACACAAGCAAAATCTAACTTTTAGATTTGGTCAACTCATGTTACTTTGCTATTATTCACACAAGTCCAACGATTATGTGGTGCTTAGGGTTAATGCATCAGACTGCAAAGCCATTTGAACTGCGAGGTCGGCAGTTCAAGTTCACCAGTCACTCCTCAGAAACCCTATACAGTGTTGCTATGGGTTGAAACCACTTTGATGGCAATTAACAACAACATATATAGGAGTTAACTAAAATCTTTGGCACCCTAGAGTATTCCAAACATGGTGACATTAGACATTGGGCCACTTGTATAACCACCTACGTGCTTCTTTATATAGTGATTCTTAGACCATATCTCAGACCTAATGATGCAGAAGAGTAGAAAGAGAATACCTGCTACGTTTATTTTTTCAAATTTCCCATGAAAATGTTCAAATACTGTACTAATACTATTAGTTATCGAATCTAGTTCCAGTCAGTCAAAGACATTATTGCACCTTGTACAAACAGGTGTCTTTTTCTTAAAATTGTGTTGAAATACTCATATTTATCAATTAAAATACGCAATTTCATATCATTTATTACATTCGCAATGTTGTGTAATCTCCACCATACCTACAATACTTATACTAACTCCAGACAGAAACCCTATACCCATTAAGCAGTCACTATTTCCTGTTACCCAGGTCTGTGGCAACCACTAAGCTGTTTTATGTTTCTATAGGTTTGTCGATTTTGGATAGTTCTTTTGGATAGTTCATGTAACTGGAATCTTACAATACACAACTCCTTATATAAGGTTTTTGATTTATGTTTCTTATCACTAATGAGTGTGCTGGTTCCATACGATAAGCAGTGGACTGTGAATCACAAGGTCTGCGGTTTGAGCCCGTTAGCTACTCTGTGGGAGAAAGATGAAGCTTTCTGCACCTACAAAACTTTAAAAGCCTTGACCCTATACAGGGTTGCTATGAGTCAGAATCAACTCCACAGCACTTAACAACAGCGGAGACTCTCAGTGGTGCCAAAAGTTATTACACTTTACTACTAACCAAAAAGTTGTAAGTTTGAGTCCACCCAGAAGATCCCTGTAAGAAAGGCCTGGCAAATTACTTCAGAAAAATCAGCCACTGAAAACCCTATAGGAGCATTACCAACATAGAGTTGACTCAACAAGAACTGGTTAATGACTTAAGGCATTAAAAGCTATTTAATGCTCTGACTGCCCATATGTTTATACCCTTTTTGGGGAAAAGGTCTATTCAAGTTCCTTGCCCATTTTTTATTTGGGTGTTGTTGTTGCTCTTAGGCTCCGGTGAGTCAATTCCGACTCACAGAGACACTATGCACAACAAAAATAAATATCACCCAGTCCTGCACCATCCTTCCAACTGTTGTTACAGTTGAGCCTATTTCTGCTGCCACGGTATCAATCCATCTCACTGACCGTTTTCCACTTTTTCACCAGCCCTTTACCAAGCATGATGTCCTTCTCCATGGAATGATCCCTCCTGATAATATGTCCAAATATGAGAGATGAAGCTGTGCCATCCATTTCTAAGGAACACTGTGGTTGTTATTTCCTTCCAGACAGATCTGTTTGTCCTTCTAGCATTCTAGAATACTTTAGTATTCTTCTCCACCATATTCAAATGCATCGATTCTTCTATGGGTTTCCTCATTCATTGTCCAAAACTTTCACTTGCATGAGAAGAGATTGTAACTACCATGGTGTGAGTCAGGCGTACCTCAGCCCTTAAAGGGACAGTTTTGCTATTTAACCCTTCAAAGAGATCTCGTGCAGATTTGTCTAATGAAATACGTTGCCTAACTTCTTGATTTCTGCTTCCATGTTATTTCTAGACCCAGTTGTGAAGATTTTTGTTTTCTTTACATTGAGGTGCAATACATACTGAAGGGTGTGTCATCTATGATCTTCACCAGTAAGTATTTTAAGTCCTTTTCACTTACAGCAAGCAAGATTGTATCATCTATCTGCATATTTCAGCTTGCTAACAAGTCTTCTCTGATCCTGATGCCACCTTCTTCTTCATATAATCCAGCTCCTGGGATTATTTACTTAGTATACAGATTAAGTAATAAATATGGTGAGAGACTACAACCCAGAAACACCTTTCCTGATTTTAAACCATTCAATATCCCCTTGTTCTGCTCTAATAAGTGTTTCTTTGTCTATGTGCAAGTTCCTCATGAGCACAATGAAGTGTTCTGGAATATCCATTCTTTGCAATGTTATCCAGGTTGTTGTTGTTGTTGTTATGTGCCGTTGAGTCGGTTCCAACCCACAGCGACCCTGGCACAGGGTTTCCGAGGAGCAGCTGGTGAGCTTAAACCGCCAACCTTGCAGTTCAAACAGCTTTGTATTCTGGAGCATTAACCCACAGTGCCACAGCAGGACTCCAATGTTATCCATACTTTACCATAATCTACACAGTCGAAAGCCTTTGCACAGTCGATGGTCTTCTTGTTATCGATTTACAGGAGTTCTTTATATATTTTGGGTATTTAAATTACTGTGACTACAGATTGTTGTTGTTAAGTGCCGTTGAGTCAATTCCGACCCATAGCGACCCTATATAGTGTTTCCGAGGAGCAGCTGGTGAGCTTGAACTGCCGACCTTGCAGTTCAAACGGCTTTGCAGTCTGATGCATTAACCCACAGCGCCACACCAGGGCTCTGGACTACCATCATCTAAATCAGAAGTTTGCAATCCTGGCTGGATATTAAAATAAACTGGGGAGCCTTTACAAGCCAGGATTCATCCAGTTACTGAGAGTAATATATAGTAATAATACCTAATATTCACCGAGTACTTCTATTTGAGGATCCCTGATGGGGGTGTGATTTAGGTGTTGGGCTGCCACAAATCGGCGGTTCAAATACACTATTTGCTTCACTGAAGAAAGATGAGGCTTTTTGCTCTCATAAAGATTTACAACCTCAGAAACCCTATCTGGGGTCACCATGAGTCAGAAATGACTTAACAGCACTTAACAATAACATAAGTTAGAATCATGTCTTGAGTCAGAATCACATATTTTTCTATGTACGGGACACTGTTTAAGTAATTTGCATACATTATCAGATATACATCTCATAGCAACTTTAATGAGGAGGCCCGCTTAAAAGGTGAGGAAATTTAGGAGGCACAGAGAGGTTAAGTAATTCCTGAAGTCATATAACTAAGAACCGGTGGAGTCAAGTCTGAAACACAGCTCAGATGATTCCGGATCAAAGTCAGCACTGCATTTAAGGCATACGTGACACTGTGGGTTAATGCGCTGGACCGGCTACATTGCAAGGTCGGTGGTTCAAATTCACCAGTCACTCCTGGGAAACCCTATAACGGGTGGCTATGGGTCGGAACCAACTTGATGACACTTAGCAACAATAACAACAACAATCTTTTACTCATTTCTGTAATATCAAAGTAGAGGTAACTGAAAAGTACCGTTTTAAGACAAGGAGTTTCTAAGTAAGCAAGATCCTTTCTAGTACATTTTCAAAATATTCCTAGTACAAGAAAAGCTGAAGTAAAGAAACACACTGTGTTGAAAGTAACAAAACTAAAACCTCCCACCCTCTGCACTAGAGTAGTTTTCACATGCTTTTAACTATAAAACCTTGCTGTCCTATTAAATCTTGAGAAGTCCAAATGTAAAGCAAATAAAATTAGATCCACACCAGTCCAGTACACCTACCAATTCTAGCGCTTTGCAAGAGAAAAGTTAAAAAGATGTGCTGACTCCAAAATCTTTCTACAGCGGCAGTTATAAAACCAGGCTGCTTACACAGTACAGACACACGAGACCATCGAGACTCATACTACTCTTCCCACCATCTGCTAAACAAGAAGATGGAAATTCTCAGAGCAGGCAACAACAAAAAAGGGAGATAAGTTCTGAAAGGTATGAGAGAAGCTTATTATGTTGTACACTTAATACAGGGGGTAAGTAAAAAAATATTGTTACTCCCATTCCTATTCCAAACCAGATGTGGTTAAACCTGTCTCTGTCATCACTGGATGGCTGCAAACAAGTTTCCTGAGTAATAAATTTATTCGTGCTAAAGTGCCTTCAAAATAAAGCATAACTTTTTTGCTACGGGAAAAACGATTTTGAGGTTAGGATCAAATATGGAATAATAATAATAAAATAAAAACTAGAGTGGATACCTTTCCAAATTATGCTTTTGCTGAAACAGCTATTTTTTTGTTTCTGTATGAGTTTTAAAAACTTTTTGTTATACAAAAGTACCACTAACAACCAAATCTATTCACTTTCTTGCCAAAATATTTTTTAGATTATTACATTATCATGATTTGATTATTCTTCATTTTCTGATTGACACATTTACATAGGATAGTGTGTATTCAGCTGATACAGTATCCGTTCCTTCTGTGAGAACTGATCCCATGACTGGATACACATAGCCCTGCCAAACCATAACTGATTCATTGGCTCATGGGTGGACACTTGAGCCAAACTAGATTAATTAGAGTCTTTCCTTTGGGAATATGTGATTCAGTGGCATCCAGTTAGTCTG